TGGTAGATAAAATAGTCATCTGGCTCAAAACTTAAAATGAAAAGTCTGGCCCACCTTTGTTATTCAATCACTCAGTTCCCCTGCCAAGAGGCAAACAATGGACTGATTTGTTTATTTTTCAATAGGTATTTGATGTATAAACAAGCCAAAAACAATATATTCTCCCTTTCTCCCCCACCACACACACTTTTTGAATACACAAGCTAGCATACAATACATATTGTTCTGTACCTTGGTTGTTTTTACCGATTTATCTCAATAATTATCCTTATCAGCATATAGAGGGCTTCCTCACACTTTTGTTTCATGGTTGTGTAGTGTTCCAATGTATGAGTGAACCCTAATTTTATTTAACCAATCCCATTGTTAGGTAGTAAGGATGTTTCTAGTTTTTTACTACCAGATAATAACGCTGCAATGGTCTTACTCATACATAATAATACCATGTACCGAGTACATTTGTGGGACAAGGTCCTAGAATTATTTTTTTAGGTGCTATTGACTCAGTGACCTCATGTGACAAAGCAGAATTACCCCCATAGGATTTTCTAGGCTGTAATCTTTACAGGCTCTGGTGGCATTTGACTGCTAATCAGAAGGCTGGTGGTTCAAATCCACTAGCCATGCTCAGAAGGAAGGTTGGGCAATCTACTTCTGTAGTGATACCACCTCAGAAACCCAAAGAGGGGTCACTATGAGTTGGATCCAACTCAACAGCAGTGAGTTTGTTTTTGTTTGGTTAGTCTTTACAGGAGCAGATCTCTAGGTCTTTTTCATGAGCCACTGAGTGGATCTGAACCATCAACCTTTTGGTTAGCAGCCAAGTGCTAAGCATTTTACCACCAACTAGAATTGCTAGGTCAAATATGTAAGTTTGATAGATATTTTCAGACTGTTCTCCAAAAAGGTTCTATCAATTTACACTCCTACCAACAATGTAGGAGGAGCTCTGGTGGCACAGTGGTTAAAAGACTAGCAGCTAATTGGAAGGTTGGTAGTCAATGCCATCAGCCACTCCATGGGAGAAAGATGTGGCAGTCTGCTTCTATAAAAATTATACAGCCTTGGAAATCCTATGGAGCAGTTCTACTCTGTCCTGTGGGGCTACTATGAGCCAGAATTGACTCAATGACAATGGGTACCAGCAATGTATGAAGGTGCCAGTTCCCCACAACCTCAGCCATCTGATAGGTGAAGATTTTCATTTTGTATTGCTCTCATGAATGCATGGAGTAAGTTTTTTGTTTCTGTGATCTCTGCTCTTATCCTCTGCTCACTTATCTTGTGTGTTCTTGGTCTTTTCCTATTCAATATATAGGAGCTCTTTATATATCTGGGGAATTAGCCCTTTGCTATGAGGTGCAGAAATCATCCCCAGTTTGTTGTCTTTTGACCTTGTCTGTGGGCTATGGCTAGGCAGAACTATTCATTTCTTCTGTGAAATTTATCAGTCTTTGCTTAATGGCTCCTAGGTTTTGTGTTTTGCTCAGAAAGGAACAGAATGCCCTGACATCCATTTTCTGTCAGTACAACAGGCTTGGAATGACTCACTGGGTTGTGATAGGCACAGAGAGGAATAGAACAACTCCTGACCTCCAGGAGATCCCAATTTTAGGGGAACACAAAGTAAACTAACAATTACAATTCTGTGTTGTAATAAAATAAAGAGCAGGAGGTACAATGGGAACCTGGGCAAAGGCCATCTAACCCAGCCAGAGGTGGCTTCCCATAGGAGGCAACACCCAGGTACATTCAAAGGCAAGAGTAAGATCAGCCAGCTGAAGAATTCTTCCAACAAAGGTTGCAGCATATGCAAAGGCAGGAGGCAAGAAGCAGCCTGGCTCCTTCAAGGCTGTTCAGTCTGGCAAGAGGACAGGGAGCTCTCCAGGGTCAGCATGTGATAAAAGGATGGACCTAGAAAGGTAGGCGAGAGGCAGGGGTGGTTCGGTGACAGAATTCTTGCCTTCTATGCAGGAGACCCAGGCGATTCCAAGCCACATCTCAGCCACCACTTGTCTGTGGGTGGGGTCCTGTAATTGTGCATTGCTGTGATAATAAACAGGCTTCCCTGGAGCTTCCAGACTAAGATGGACTAAGAAGAAAGGCCTGGAGATCTATTTCCGAAAATCAGCTAATGAAAATCTTATGGATCACAATGGTCTGATTCACAACCAATCATGAGGATGGTGGAGGACTGGGCAGCGTTTTGATCTGTTATGCATGGGGTCACAATGAAGTAGAGGCTGACTCAACAGCAGCTAACAACAGAAAGGCAGGCAGAGGCCAGATCATGTAGGGCCCAGTGTGTACTGTCCAGGAGTCAGGATCTTACCCTGAGGCAGTGGGGAGGCAGCAGAGGGACACAGCTGCATGTGGAGGAAGAGTTGGAGAAGACAGCTCAATGTGGAGGCAGGGCTCTGGCTTAGAGGTGTCCAGCAGCAGCCATGGCTGACCAGAGATGATCCAAGCTATCAAACAAAAGTAACCATAGGCTTCCTATTTTGTTAAAAGGAAGTATAGACTTCCTATTCTGTCAAAATGTCATATTTTTGTCAAACTTTCAGAATTCCATAAAAATCATAAGGGAAGCTAGCACTTCTCTGAGAAACATTTCTACCCAAGATGATGACAACTTTAAGAGCTTTGACTCCTAGTAGAGAGAGCCAGGGTTAGCACTCCACCCCAACACCCCACTGGCAGACAGGGCCAGGTAAAAACAGCTTGGTCTCCAGCAGCCTATCCTCTTAGCTCTTGTCTGGTTCAGAAAATAAATGGGCTCTTAAGTCCCAACCTAGGTCCATTCATCCAACGCTTTCCACCCATTAAAGGTGGGCAACAGGGATGCAGGACCCTGTGAGTGGGAGATAGGTGTGAGCACTCCCAGGGATGAAGCCTCTGGGTCTAGGGGCATCTTTCCTTCTACCCAACAGCCTCTATGGTGCTCTGGGCAGCACAGCTGTTTTCAAAGGTATCAAGCAGGGGCCTCTGAACATCTCTGTTCCCATGGCTTACTGCAGCCTTTTAAAACAGGCATTTTGTAACTGGTTTCCTTGAACAACTATACTCCCTAAAGTGCCCAGCACAGAGCCTGGACTACAAAAAGCATGCAGAAAATGGTAGCCCTGCCATTCGTTAGCAGATTGCTGAGGGAGAGGAAGTATGATGTGGAGAGAAGGGAAATTTGGAAAAATTTAAATGGAATTTGGGATTATCTCTGAATTTCAGTTATCCAGACTCTCCTCATGCCCTCAATCCCCAAACCAGCCAGATGCTTCTTCTTGATGCTTCCTCCATTTTAGTTATATTTTCTTTAGTGTCCTAAGACAGTTTTATCCAAAAAAAAGTCACTCGGTTAAGTCAACTGCAGTTAAGATGAAGGTTCTTGGAGGCTGGCTGGAGGTCTCGGTACCAGCCAGCAAGGTCCTCTCGAGGGCACCTCTACTAGTTCTCTCAGGGCATGTGGGGTGCCAACCTAGCCCTTAGCCTGCAAGGCAGGAAACCAGCCCCAACCTCAGCTCCAAAATAGGCAAACAAGACCCTCCTCACTGAGGCCACACCAAAAAGCAATTAGGTCAGAGGCAGGGCCACTATAGGGTTTCTAGGCCAGAAAACATAGTCTCCCTGGAGTCCTGACAGAGTTCACTTCCCCTGCTCTTGCGTGTTGCTGTAGGGGGCAGCAGATGTAGACACTCAGGCCCACCCTCAAGCACAGCAAAGCTGGAAGGACAACAGAAGAAACTGGGAAGAAAGGGACCTGTACTCCAGAACAGGGCCAGTCTTGCTGGCTGTGTGTGTCTGTTACTCACATCAAGGGCCATGTCAGCTTAGGTCACGGGTTTTATTTTTCCCAAAATGACACTGTGGCTATTCAGTAAATGTGTAGGAAAGCTCCCTGGCCTATATACACATCTAGCTTTAACTTCCATTTATTTAACATTTATGTGCCAAATACTATGTAGGGTAGGCATTTTGTATACATTGCTTCATTTAAAATCTCAAAAACTCTATGAGGAAAAGATTATAATACAGATTAGAAAAAGTAAGGGTCAGAAAGGTTAAGCCCTAAGTCAAAGTGCTAGTAAGTAGCAGAGCTGGGATTTGAACTTGGGGCTGCCTGGCTTCAGAGCTCTGTGCCCTCAACCAGTACATTTATACAGAGGCCAAGGAGTGCTCACCAGTTGTTAGCTCAGACTGTTCCCCTACCACCCTTAGCATCACTCAGGATATAAAAGAAAGACAAAGTCTCCCAAAAGGTAATTTTTCTTTATTTCCCAGAGCCCAGATCTCACAGCACCATCTGTGGAAATCTCAGGGTCCTGACAGCTCACAGGCTTCTCCGACTACATGGCACCAAAGAACTGAGACTCCAAAGACCCATTTAGGGGCTCACCATGCTGGGGAGCTCCAGCTGTGGCTACTTCTAAAAGTAGTTCCTGGGCGATATGAAGAATCAAGGTTTTTCAGTCACTCAGGTCCTCCTCCCAGGAGCACAGGAACATGCCCAAGCCTGGCAGCTTGCTCCTCCAGCTTGCTGTACTCACCCCAGGAGGTGGGAAGGGGTGTCTTTTGAGTGAAAGAAGTTGGGACTTTGGCCTTTGATCCAGTTTAACCTGGGGCAGGCCAGACTCCCAGGGAGGCTCCAGAACAGGTCTAGGTAAAAACACTCCTCAGCAAATAAGGGCACTGTCATCATATCATGCTAACCTTCTTCAACACTGAGTGCAAAGGGACACACGTGCCAGAAATCCTCGTTCAATTCTGCTGGAAGCCATCGCGCTGAGAGACAATTTCTTTCACTTTGTCCACAATTGTCTTGACTTCAGCCATGGCCCCCAGACCTGGGAAACAAAATTCTGTGGCAAACAGCCTGCAGACAGTGCCTGTAGCCCCCAGAGTGCTTCTCCAAGTGCTCTACCCAGAGTCCATGGAGTGAGAGGGCCAGGACCATCTCTACCTAGCCCAGACCCATCAAACCCCTTTCAAAACACCCCCAGCACAGGTCCAAGAAATAATACCATAATTATCCCAACTGTGTACAGCTGTGTGCAAGAGACTGTATCAGAACTTTATAAATTTATCTCATTTAATCCTAACAATGCTGAGAGGAAAAGATTATGAGTCTCAATTTCCAGATAAGAAAGTTGAGCTCAAAGAATCATTTTGCCCAAGGTCACTATATACCAGGATTGCAATGCAGATCTGACCCCAGAGCCAAGCCCCTTCTTCAGTCTTGGGCTGTAAGGACAGACTGTGAGCCTAGCAAGATGCTCACCTTCATCTCCACACACCAGCTTCTTGGCCACACAAGGGATCTCAATATAGCCGAAGGCCTTGAGCTGATCCACCTGCTGCGCAGTGATGGGGTGCTCCCACATGGCAGTGTTCATGGCCGGGCAGAAGAGCAGGGGCTTGCTGCGGTCCCAGGCCCGGATGACACAGGTCTGTGAAGGAGGGCCAGGGCAGGTGTCCTGTGCTCTCTGCCTGCTACTCATCATCAGCCCTTTCAAATCCTACCCACTGTCCTCAGCCCCACAGACAGTATGTGGACTTGGAATGAGAGGAGTGCCTACCTGCAGGGAGCTCCCTCACCTCCAGTGGTGGAGGCTGTGTCCCCTCACACCCACCTCCCCACAGGAGGTGTTTAACCAATACTCAACCAGCCTCCTCTAAGCAGATCTTCCCTCCCATGCTGAACGTAAAGGTCTCCTTCCTCGCAGTGGGCTCACACCTCTTGATAGAGGCAGCCCTAGGAAGCAAAAGGAAGGCTTTGCGGTTCACTGGAAACCAGACTGCTCATCAGGTGGGGACCCCATTTACCCAAGCACAAACTCAACTTCTATGCCAAACAAAGCCGACAATGTAACCATTTTATACTTGACAACAACGCTTTCACATACATTATCTCATGAAGCCTCAGTGTGACTGTGGTAGTTAAATTTGTATGTCAACTTGGCTGGGCCTGATTGAGTGGCTGGGCAGCTGGCAGTAGTTATTCCCCATGATGAAACTGGCAATCAACTCCATGGTAGGATCTACCACAAGCAGCTGAGTAGCTGCCTTTGGAATGTGGTCTGCTTCCTGTATATAAGGAGAAGGCTTGGGCAATAGTCTCTAGCTTACAGCATGCTCGGACCCTGCATGTAGCCATGTCCCTGTTCAGCAGCCTGCCACACTCTGCCAACCTGGGGACTTACAATAGACTTGAATTAACAGCCTGCCATGTGGTTTGGTAACATCAGGACTGTGTCTTTTCACTTGTCAACCTTGGGCGTGGCAGTCTCAGCAGCCAGCAGGTGTCTGAGTGAAGAAAAGCCTCTAGCATCAGTGGACCCGGGAGCTGGAGGCAGAGCTGAAGCCCAAGGCTGAGGGGCTTTCATCCAGCCCCTAGAGCCTGGCACTTTGAACTCGGACTTAAAGCCTCCAAACTGTAAGAGAATAAACTCCTGTTTGTTAAGGCCATCCATTTGTGGTATATTCTTGTCAGAGCGGCACTAGGTAACCAGAACAGTGACCCTGCAAAGAAGGTACTGTCCCCATGTCACAGATGGGGAAGCTGAAGCTCACTCAAGGGGTAAGTAGTTATCCAAGATCAGACATAGACAATGGTGTGAGGCTGTGCAAGCTGTGTGAGCTCCCTCCACCACACTGGACAGCTTCATGGCCTTCAGCTCTCTGAGGCCATCATTCTGCATTACAAACCAGAAAAGGAACCAACCATCCCAGAGTCCTTGGTGCCACAGTTAAGAAGCCAAGGCTCTGAAATAGCACAAACCTAGGTTCAAGCCCTGACTATGCTACATCTTACCAGCTGTGAAAACCTGGACAAGGTACTTACTGCCTAAAGTCTCCCTGCACAAGACCCCCTCACAAGATGGCTGTTAGAATGGAGGGGGAAAATACGTAAAAACCCTTTACCAAAGGGCCTGGCACAGAAGCCAGACTCAAGAAATGGTCACTCTGGTTATTACTACAGGCACGAGCTCTGTGGGCTGGGGGCTGCCTGGAAAAAAATAAATTCTAGGCCCACAGGCGTGAGCACCCTTGGCTCTGCCTGTTTTAGGCACCTCCTCCTGGGCCATGGGTCCCTTGGGGAAAAAGGGGGTTGGCATACCCTTCCTCTGAAGTTGAGCCCATCTGCAAAGAGAGAGAGGATAGTCCAGAGAACAATGCCGCCAGGGCCAATACCTGCCATCTCCAGTGGCCCTGTCCTCTCCTGGGAACAGGGAGGAAGTGGGACAGTAAACAGCCTCAGGATATAGCTGCTTGCATCATCCCAGACACCAGTGATTGTTTCCCACCAAGTCCTCTCAATACTGCAACTGGGCTATGAGTGTATGGTTTCAGTAACATTTCCTCTTGGCTCCATGCCACCTGCTGCTTCTGTAGAAGTTATGAGCTTACCTGAATCATGTATGGGGTTTCTAAGTGCCCCCTAAGCAAAGCACATCAATTAGAGCAGAAACCCCAGTACCTCATGTCCTATGTACTTCTAGCTTCCCCTACCTCATCTCAGAGCTCAGAGCTTCCTGGCCTGAACACAGGCCCTTGGAACAGACCGGCATTAGTTCCCATGGTCAGTTCTGTCTGGACAATGCTGGGTCCAGCACCTCATGCTCTGTCCCCGGGAATCACCTGGGCAGGGGAGAAGGCCTAGCTCCCTGTCAGGAGCCCTGTTTCCAGCCAGACTGGGACCCACGGAAATCACCTCCTCTTTCTGAATCCGATTCCTATCTAGCCTATCAGGGTAAGGGTCTGAGTGGGCCTGAGGGCACATGGAGATGGGTATTACCCAGGCCGAGGGCCTCCAGAGTACATCTAGCAGGCTACTCTAATGTACCCCCATGAGCACTAAAAAGGTACAGGACATGAGGGAGAGAGGAAGCAGGGTAAGTCTCCTTTCAGAATACAGGAGAAAACATCTATGAGAAAGGACAGAGCCACAGACCAAGGATGATGACAGTACAAACTTTGCAAGATTTAAGATCGCTTGAAATGTGTGTCTTCAAGTAAAACTCTTAAAGGCAAATGGCTAATGCTTGTCCTGGGAACATGTCCCTGAGTCAACTCAGAGGAGGGTACCTAAAAGGTTATAGGGTGTAGTGGCAGCTTTGAAGAACAAAGAAGAGCTGACAGAGGCCCATGTTGGGGTCAGACATGAGACTGGTTGTTGTTGTTAGGTGCTGTTGAATTAATTCTGACTCATAGCAGCTGGTCCTGACCAGCCTTCCAGAGGTCCAGACCAGACTATGGGAAGCTGGGAGACTGAGTGAGATGGCACAGGTGACACACAGCTCTGGCGCACATAGATGACAGTGGTAAGGCCCCTCATCTGTTCCAGCTGCCCCGTCAAGCTTAGCACAGCCCCACTGGGAAGCTCGTCTCAATAACTCTGCCCTCCAGGCTCTCCCTTCACTGCCCTCCTGTCCTGTACCATCTGCTTCTGGCCTTGCAATCTGTGTGTGTGGCTCTTCCTCTGGTCACCCTGTGAGCCTACTAAAATGATGCTTAAATCACCAGCAGATTCTTCAAGAAGTGCCTTAAGAATCTCCATCAACAAGCATCTTAGAAGCCCTGGTGACGTAATGGTTAAACACTTAGCTGCTAACCAAAAGGTTGGCAGTTCAAACCTACCCAGTGGTTCTGTAGGGAGAAAAAACCTGGCAATCTGCTCCTGTAAAGATTATAGCCTAGAAAACTCTACAGAAAAGTTCTACTCTGTCCTACAAGGCCTCTATGAGTCAGAATCAATTCAACAGCACCTAACAACAACAACAACCAATCTCATGTTTGACCCCAAAAAATATCCTGACCCAGCTTTATTATTCACCTTCTTAACCAAATTAAACTCTGAAGAATCCCTGGTTGTTTGCAAAAATAAAATTATTAATGACCTCATACATACAATACCTATTTATTGAATGGCTACAGTGGGGCTAGCAGTGTGTAAAGCACTGACTCCACTGCCAAAGGACCAACAGGGCCCATTCACTGTGGGCATTTAGACATTGTCACACACCAGAGCATATAGTCCTTTACCATGGGTGCTTTCCATCTGCACAGGTGATCCCATCCCCTTCCTTCTGGACTGTGAGCTCCCTGTGTGGGTATGTCCCTCAGCATGAGGCCCAGCACACAGTAGGTAAGAGTTTATTATATGAGGGGCAGGGAGGGAAAGGAAGAAGGAAAACAATCATTCCAAAGCATTCCAGGATGATTATATAGACAAAAGCAGCTCTTCTTTAGTCACTCCCTGAAGTCTCTTAGGCTTAAGACAATCCCCACTTTGCACAGCTGGACTTCTCTTTCTTCCATCACATCAGCTCTCCTCTCTCACCCTTTCTTTCTCCACTCATCTCTTTAAGTTTTCCCTAAATCCAGGAGAACTGCATCTCAGGCTTGTGGCTAAAACTATAAGAAAGACAAGTGTGGAGGTTACTACCTCAAGGAAGTAACACCCTTACCAGATTGCCCATGAGTATATCCAGAGCCAGGTGAGAAGGCAGAGCTGCATGGTGGGAGGCAGTGGGACCAGGCAGGGAGACCAATGAATGAAGACAAAAGGAGAGGAGCAAGGGGCTCTGGTGGGCACCTGGCTGAACACAAAGGGGCAAGTGAAAGGTGGGCACAGCCTGGACAGCATCAGCAGGTCAAGTTGACCCAACAGGACCAGGTTTGTCGGCCCATATGAATAGACAAGATGTGATCTGGGAGATGGGGGCTAAGGGCGGAATGGCATTCTCCCCAAGCAAACCTGGGCCCCACAGTGGTAGGTTTCCAAGGTGAGAACCTTGTCCAAGGAATTCAGCAGCTCAGCAAACTAGGAGTGAGGCTCAGGGATAGATGAGGACACCAGGGAGTCACTCACAAGCAAGTTGTCACAGATGCCACTGGCCACCTTCCCCAGAGTGTTGGCATCCAGAGGTGCTACTAGCATGAGGTCTGCCCACTTCCGTAGGTCAATGTGGAGAACTGGGTCAAAGCGGCACTTCCACATCTGGCAGAGGGAAGGAAATGGGGTCACGGTGTGGAAGAATTGGGGAAGGGGCAAATCAGACTAGGCACAATGAGTCAGCACTCAAGGAAGAGACCACCTGACCCAAACCACTGCCCAAGCCCACTGCAGTTCTCTCTCACAATGAAGCAGACAGGCATTGGCCATAGAGCCAACAGCCTGAGAGAAACCAGGCCTGAGGAAACAAATGCCCCTTGTCTCTCTGTACTATTCCCTTTACGGTTCAGTTTTCAAGAAAACTGACATCTGGCAGGAGCTCCCAGCCTGTCAGCTTGAGGCGGATGCTTGGGTTGTCCAAGCCAATGGAAGCACTTGTGGTGGTGAGAAATGTGGGGGGTGGGGTAGGGAAGACAGCCCAGCCAGAAATGTTCTAGGGCTGAGAATGTTTAAAAATGCCTGGCAGAGCACCCCTGTGAGGCCCACACTTGATGTCTGGTGTTTTGGCTGGTGCCCACCCCTCTGCGGGAGAGCAGACGCAGAGCTGGGAGGCGTGGGAAGTGAGGCACTCCTGACAGCCCTGACACTGGGAGCCATGTGGACAAGGGTGGTGGGAACAGAGTTCCTCTGTGGTTTCATCAGCCCAGATAAGTACAAGGACACTCAACTTTGGGCACAGGGCCAAAGCTGAACTCTGCTTGTGATGGGAGGAGACTCTGGGCCTCCCACAGGCCAGAAGCTAGACAGATGTTTTCCTCATCGCCTCTGCCCGGAGGGCCTTGACCACTGACTTGAGCCCAGCCTGTCTGCCGTGGCCGTCAGGCCCCTAGGCTGCAGAAGGACAGTTCTGGAGGCAAAATGCAATGAAATTTAGCTCTGGAGCCTGTAGCACTGACCTCCCATTCATCAGTGTCACTGTAGATGCTGACATGAACATCTTGGGGGCTGTAGAAATGTTTGGCTCTCTCAGTTGTGACCACTGCTACTTCCAGCTGTAACCAAGAAAAGACAAGGGGAGGGAAAGGGAGAAATTGTTACTAGAGCTCACCAGGAGGCCTCACAACGGCCAGTTCAGTGCTTGCTTCATCACTGCCTATAGAGAGAACTTCCCCCTCCTTGGCAATAGTGGGCCCCACATTCGCAGCTACTTCCACTGTCACCCAAGGTCAAGCCTTACCAGGTGCTGTAGTTTCATTTCCCCATCTGTGAGGGGCTGCTGAGGAATGAGTCACCAACTAACTGCCCAGGGTATATAAAGCTACAGGCTTCTGTACTCATGAGCCAAGCCCAAGGCAGAGGCAGGGCATTGACAAGAAGGGCCTCCAGGCAACAGGGCCAAAGAGAGCATGGCAGGCAGGCCCACCCTGAGAGTCTCAAAGGTCTTGAGTTCTGGGCCACAGAACAGTTCTTACCTCTGCAGGCCAAGGGACTGGGGGGCTGGGGTCTGTCACCCGGCACCTTCATCCATGCCCGGCAAGAAAGCAGAGCGTCCCTTCACTCAAGTACTTCTAGGAACACAGCCTTGTGGGCTCAGACTGCAGACAGATGCCAGGAAACCCAAATCTGTGTGCCCTGTGCTCACAGAGGGAGAATACAGTTTACCTTCACACTACCCATGAAAGGATTTGCTAAGTAAATGAATTACACAAACAAGGAGGATGTTTAATCTGCTGAACAAAGCAGAATGAGAAACAACAGCACACTGTGGTGTGAAGGGTACTCGATGATTGTCATTTGTAAAACAAGATGTCAGACTAACAAGCTAGCAAACTAAAGGAACCTAGAAGAGGGTAGCCAGAAGGAGAAGGGTGTAAGAAATCACAACTGTGGGGGAACCACTGAATCAGAGGAGGCCACTGATCTAGGAGGGAAGAAAAGTCAGGGTGACAAGGATAGAACTGTCAAATAACCAGTGCAGAGGTCATGGGCAGCAGCATCTGGGCCAGATCCAGACTATCAACATGTATGGTCAGTCCGTACAGGGTTATAAACATTTTTGAGCCAACATAGACAAAAGATTTCACCTTAAAAAGAAAAAAATTCCTGCCTTCTTTTGAAACATTGAAAGGTCAGGGAATGCTGGACCTACTTACTTGACAATGACTTTCCGGGGTCTGCCTATGCCAACTCAGCCTAGTGTCCACCCACCCTATTGTCTCATCAAGCCCCCTTCCTCATTTGTTCCTGCCTACTGTGGGATAGGCCGCAGAGGTATTCTGCACAGCACCTGAGAGCAAAGTTGAGACCAGGAAGTAGGGAGAAAGGCCAACTGAGGAAGAGAATTTTATTAATTACAGCTCTTCTGGGAGAACTGTAAGACCTATTAGAGGTAACTATAAGACCTGTTAGAGGTCCCCACTTCTGCTGCAGAGCTCTCTCCTGTCCATTCATCCTCTCACTATCCCTTGGAATCAACCATCCCCAGAACTTGCACGAAACCTAGAGATAGAAGGGCCACCCCAACTGAGTGCTGGAGTCCCCTGAGGACTGCCCTGCTGAAGACATCCAGTTCTGAACAAGATGGCAAACAAGCAGGGCTGCAGCATCCCCCTACAGAAGCCTGCCCTGGAGAGGCCATTGTACGGTACAGGTTGGGGAGCAGGGGAGGTAGCCTTGCTGAGGTCTTGTCTTCTTCCTAAGGAAGATAAAAGATACTGGCAAAATAAAGTAAAGGGCATAATAAGTTAGAGGTAACCATGAAAAGAACAGTGTATAACTTTCAAACTAGCAGAAGATAATTCAATTTATACAATAAAGGATAGGAAAAGACAAAAAGAAACAAAGACAACATGTAGAAAGTAGAAAATGAAATGGCAGACGTATATTCTAACATATAGTAATAATTGTAAATATAAAGAGTCCTGGTGGTGCGATGGTCAGCAGTTTGAACTCACCAGCTGTTCTGCAGGAGAAAAGACCTGGCAATCTGCTCCCATAAAGATTACAACCCAGGTAACCCTATAGGACAGTTCTACTGTCCTACAGAGTTGTTATGTGTGATGATTAATGTTATGTGTAATCTTGGCTACGCTATGATTCTCAGTGGTTTGGCAGACATTATGTAATCACTTCTCATTTTGTGATCTGATGTGAGCACTCAATCAACTGGAAGATAAGTTTCCTCAGGGGTGTGGCCTGCATCCATGATATAAATGAATATTCTGACAAAGCTTTCCTCTCATTCTGCACTCATTTCATGTCCTCTGACCTCCAGCTCTTAGGGCATGAGAAGCTTCCAGCCTGCTGCCAGACCTGCAGATTTTGGATTAGCCAGCTTCCACAACCCCATTAGCCAACAACCTGCCACGTGACCTGCAGATTTTTAGTTCATCAATCCTGCCCTTGCAACCATAGGATTCAGGAGAAGCCTCTAGCCTGCTGCCTGACCCACAGATTTGGGACTCAGGAGGAACATGATTGGAAAACTGGTGACAAGGAAATATGGGGAAGAGCTTTTGTATAGATTTATCTGAATGGGCCAAAGAAGATACCTGAATCTCATGTGAATAATTACCAAAGGATGACTCAGCAGAAGAGGATTTTAACAATTAAATGGATAGGATGATGCATTCTGTGGAAACCAGTCAGCCTGTTTACCCTGCCACTCCTGTCATTGCCCAATGGGCTCATGAACAAAGTGGGCATAGTAGTAGGGATGGAGGTTATGCATGAGGTCAGCAACATGGACTTCCAGTCACCAAGGCCAATTTGGCTACAACCACTGATGGGTGCCCAATCTGTCAGCAGAAGAAACCAATACTGAGTCCCTGATATGACACCCCTTCTCAGGGTGATCAGGCCTATGGCAGGTTGATTACAATGGACCACTTTCAGCATGGAAAGGGAAGCATTTTATTTATTTATTTTCCCACATAAATCTTTTCTTTTAATAAATAAAGCATATAGATGGTTTAGGTCTTAAATCACATTAGCAGATGAGGAAAACTTCATTACATAGATAATCTTGGCTCTTCAAATACCAGAAACGTCCATACTGTATCCGTAGAGTAGAATTGAACTCCACCTCCAAAATACTTAGTCCAAAAACTTTTTGGCATTAGCACCAAACAAGGTTTCCTGTACTTCTGGAATCATCTGCTAGGCTATGAGATGCAGCTGGCTTGCTAGGGTTTTAGAAACCTTTATTTTACAATCTTCATTATGGATCTCAATACCACTAGCTATGTCCTCAGTTAGGTAGGCCTCCTGATCAATTTGGACAACAACATCTTTTTTGGTGATTTTGTACACAGGGATTGCTTTTTGCACCACAGCCTTTACCAGAGTATTTCCTGCAATGAATGATCTTTCAGGGCTTGAGCAACTGGTACAAACCTTAGAAGACCAGTCCATCCAGCAGCCTTTGGTACCTGGTTGTATCTTTTACCACATTGCTGAGTATCTGTTTTGCTTCATTTAGTAGGTCTGAGATAATGTTCTCTTTCACTCTGAGGACATCTGAATTTTCTACTGCTGCTCAATCAATCTGTTTTTCTTTCTTTTCATAGTATTCCATATCTTCAAAATTTGGGTGTGCACAAGATGACCTTTCTCAATGTTGATCTCTTGTTCTGCTTTTGCATCTATTTCTTCTGGCTTCTCACTGGCTTCTTGTTCAATGAAAGCCATCATGTGCTTAATCTGCTTTTGCACATCAGCATCATTGAGGGCCATGGCAAAAGCACTGCTAAGCCAGTGCACAACAGGTTCATGTTTAGGTATGAAGAAGGCAGTGGAAGGAATAGGAGAGGAAAACCTGCCATAGGTTTCAGCTTCCTTTGCTTTATCATAAGATTTTTATTCTTACTGGGATAGATATTTACTCTGGACACAAATTTGTCTTCCTTGCACACAATGCTTCTTCAAAACTTAACATGTATGGCCTTACAGAATGTCTTATCCACTGTTGTGGTATCCCACATAACATTGCCTCAGATCAAGGAACTCACTTCGTAGCAAATTAAGTATGACAATGGGCCCATACTCATGGAATTCACCATTCATTTACCGTTTTCCCTATCATCCTGAAGCAGCTGGCTTGACAGAACAATGGAACAGCCTTTGAAAGACACAAATATGTCACCAGCTAGGTGGTAATACCTTGCAAAGCTGGGGCAATGTTCTCTAGGAGGCTGCAAATGCTCTAAACCAACATCCAATATAGGGTGCTGTTCCTCCCACAGACAGGATTCACAGGTCCAGGAATCAAGGGGTGGAAATGGGAGTGTCACTACTCACTACTGCCCTTAGTGACTCACAAAATTTTTGCTTCCTGTTCCCATAACCCTATGCTTTGAGGGTCTAGAGATCTTTGGGTTAAATGCTCCCACCAGAAGCCACACCAATGATTCCATTGACCTGGAAGTTGAAAATGCCACCTGGCCAGATTGGCTTTCCTGTGAGGGTGAGACCCTGCAAACGTGTACGGAACTCTAATGTGAGGATTGGTCAGTTTTGCCATCTTGATAGGTTTAAAATGAGCCATACCAGAGACATAAAGAAGGGATCTCATTACCATCAAGAAAGAAAATCCAGGAGTGCAGTGTCCCCAGATTCCTGTGCTGAACCCCCTCGATCCAGGAGACAGAGAGCTTTGATACCAGAGATGGTGAGAAGCAGCAGCAGAGGCAGCAGAACCAAGAGACCAGCATGAGACAAAGGGTGCTTCCCAATTCATGGAGCAAGAAAGCTGAATGTCTTTGGGCAGAAGGCTTCCTGGAAATGTGGGGTACCTCTCTGGGCAGAGCTAGAAGAGCTTACCCAAGCAGGTCGCAGGTCACAGGTCAAGGGGCTGAGGAGCTGAAAGGCTGAAGGCCAAAGACAGGCATGCTGGCAGCCAGTGCTGAGAAGCAGCTGTCCTAATCAAATAATTGTATCATGAATCATTTCTGATCCTGAATTATAACCTGTTACTTCCCTAATAAACCCTATAATCACAAGTATTGTGCGTGAATTCTGTGTGGCCACTGCAATGAATTATTGAACCCAGCAG